CCTTCCTAAGTTCTTTGTAGTTGATTTGAATTTTGTAATACTCAAAATGACTTATTCATTCAAAGTTGTTCTTATCACAATATTGCTTAATGAAACTGATTTACAAATTCAGTGCCATAACAATCAAACTACTAAAAAAGTTATTTTATGGAGCTAGAAAAAAATAATTACATTACTCACCTGGAAGAACAAAAGATTAAGAATATCAAGGGAATTAATGAGAAAAACAAAGTGCAAAGGAAGGTGGCCTAGCCATACCAGATATTAAATTATTTTATAAATCGGCAATCATCAAAACTTGTTTCATAGTGGCTAAGAAATATATTGGTAGATCAGTGGAATAAGTTAGGTACACAAGACACAGGAGTCAATAACTGTAGTAATCTGCTGTTTGATAAACCCAAAGACTCCAGCTTCTGGAATAAGAACTCAGTATTTAACCAAAACTGCTAAGAAAACTAAAATATAGTATGGCAGAATCTAGGCATATACCAACATCTATATATATACCATATACCAAGATAAGGTCATATACCTATATATACCAAATACCAAGGTAAGGTCATATACCTATATATACCATATACCAAGATAAGGTCAAAACAGGTACATGATTTAGACATAAAGGGTGAGAGTATAAGCAAATTAGGAGAGGAAGGAATAGTTTACCTGTCAGATCTGTAGAGAAGGGAAGAATTTATGACCAAACAAGAGGAAGAGAACATTTTGAAATGCAAAATGGATAATTTTGATTACATTAAAAATTTTTTGCACAAACTAAACCAATGCAACCAAGATTAGAAGGAAAGCTGGGAAATAATTTTTACAGGCAATGTTTCTGATAAAGGCCTCATTTCTCAAATATATAGAGATACTTTTTATTACATAAAATTAAAATAGTTTTGCACAAACAAAACCAACATAGTCAAAACAAGCAGCAAGTGGTGGCGGTGAAGGGATTTGATAGCATGTTTCTCTGGTAAAGATCTCATATATCAAATATAAAGGGAAGTCAGCCCAAATTTATCACAATGAGGGCCATCACCCAATTGATAAAATAGTCAAAGAATTAGAACAGGCATTTTTCAGAGGAAAAAAGTCAAAGCTCTCAATAATAAGAAAAATGCTCTAAATCAGCAATAATTGGAGAAATGATATTTAAAACAGCTTTGAGGTACTACCTCACTACCTCACCCATCAGACTGGCTAAGATGACCAAAAAGAAAAATGACAAATGCTTGAGAGGTTGTGGAAAAATAGGGACACTAATGCGCTGTTGGTGGATTTGTGAATTAGTGTGACCTTTCTGGAGAACAATTTGGAACTACACCTAAAGGGCTCTAAAACTGTGCCTAACCTTGGACCTAGCTTTACCACAATTAGGCCTGTATCCCAAACAGATCAAAGGAAAAGTTCCCATATGCACAAAAATCTTTATGTCAGCTCTTGTCAAGTAGCAAAGAATTTGAAACGGAGGGGATGCCCATCAATTGGTGAGTGCCTAAGCAAGTTATAGAATATGAAATGTGATGGAGTACTACTGTTCTATAAGAAATGATAAAGGGAATGGTTTCAGAAAAACCTGGGAAAATTTATATGAAGTGATCAGTACAGTGAAATGAGCAGAAACAGTAAGTCAATATGATAACAATAATGTAAAGAAAATCCAACTGTGAAAAGCCTTTGCTACTCTAATCAATACAATCATCCACCACAACTCCAAAGGTTTCATCATGAAAAATACTCTCCTCCTCCAAACAGAATTGATGGATTCAGAGGGCAGATATTGAAGCATATTTTTTCCTTTGTTTAATGCTATTTTTCCTGGAATATGGCTAATACATAAATATATTTTACATGACTTATGTATAATGGGTATTGTGTGTCTTGCCTTCTCAATGGCTGGGAGAATGAATGGAGGAAGGGATCGAATCAGGAACTTAATATGACGATTTTCAAAGGAAATGTCAAAAAATTATTGAAATATGATAAATGAATTTTTCTGAGTAGTAATGCCTTCTAGTCAAGTACTATAATCCCTCGGTAGTTCTCTGTTTGTTAAAAGTAAGGATGGGGCACACGTCTAGTAGAATATTGTCCAATGTTCATTGATTTAGAGCTGGAAGGGACATTACAGGTTTCATTCTAATCCAAGTGTCTCATCTTTAGATGAGGAATCATCCAGAGGTTTTGACTTGCCAAAGGTCACAGAGCCAGTAACCAAAATTTGAACCCAGACCTCCTAAAAATCCATAATGTTTTACCAGCCACACTATTTTTTATCTACTTTTTCTAGTCATTTAAAATTGTCATTCACTTAGCTGTCATAATAATGTATGTTATTTTTTCATTCTGCCCTCATCATTCCATATCACTCTTTTAAAATCTCCCTTTATTTTTTAGAATCTTCATATTTGTCATTCCTGATAACTCATTAACCAGCCATTCCTCAATCTTTAGGTACATTCTTGCAATGAGAAATTGGGGTCGGGGGGGCATTATTGTTTGTTTTTTAACTACTGCTGCCATATTTTTTTGTACATTGTAGCATTAGCTAGCTGGACCAGAGAAAATGAATAGCTTCTTGTGAAATTCTAAAGTCTTTTCTAACACAGTTGGACCGATATGCAGCTCCAGGACCAGGAAATGTTTGCCCACAAATGGTAGAGATGTAAAATTTGTTAGTTTGCCATGGATACACTTTAATCTGTCCAGACAAAATTCATTTTTCTTCGTGATTGGAATTTTTTCTTTCTCTCTTCAGCATTTCGTCACTGAGCTTCTCCCATCCCTTTTCGGCTGACGTCCCCCTAATGCATTTTCTTCCATGAGACCATACCTCTGAACCTTTCCTCTGAACCACTTCAAATTGCTTTCTCAAAATCTACAGTACAGTCAGATTGTGGGTTTTTTTCTGTAGTTTGATTTTAAAGTAAAAGATTTTATAACATCAAAGTATACATTCTCCTATCCTGTTATTGCATATTAAAATATATTTTCAAATATTACCAAAGATTCTGGTCAATTTAATATGAATATATATCATATCACAATTTTAGCTTAAGCACTTTTCTTTCACAACATTTAAATTCATTCTATAAGGCCCATGCACAACTTTACATTCTGACAAAAAAAGTTTTGAAATATAATTTTGTACACCTAATGAAAAATCACACTCTCTATATCTTGACAGTATAGTATACAATCAAACATACCTCCAGCAATCAAATGTACCTGAATTACATTAAGAAAACTTTGTAGGTGGAAAAGCATATAAATCATTCTTTCAGACAAATGAAGGAGAGTGAAGGCATTTTATTTCTAAGCATCACTTAATGCATCAAAGTAACCATAAGTTTTTGCTTTTTTTGGATGAATCTTTTAACAGATTAAAAATCATCCAGCAATTTTTAGAAAAACACTTTCTCTGACCTACCTAGGGAAAAAATAAAGAAATACATGTTTATCACTTAAAAGGTAAGTAAACTCTTGTATTTTATAATTTCTACTTCAGTGATAGTCATGCATCAGAAAACCGATATATATATATATATGATGACTATATTAATAATTTAGATTTCTCAGAATTGCCTCTATTGTGAGTCAGTCCTCACAATGTAGCTTGAAGCGATCAATCAAACTTGAGAATCTCTGCCTGTGTACCTGAAGTGTAGCAAATCAAAGATTGTAGAAACCGTTTCTGTCACAGGACTGTCATGTTGTGCTGTAGGGAAGGTGGTCATGACCCCCAAAGACTTGACTCCAGAATTGTTGTATTGTGGGATTTGTCAATTTCTCCTGGTGAAGCACTAAACCATTGTTTGTAATCCACTTTCCCCCCTCCCTTTCCACTTGTGATGTATGTATATGATCTGTCTTCACTTTAATGAGGTTGGGATCTGAACCCCTAAAAAGAAGAGACCACGTCTTTGAGATTTGGACCCCAAAAAGGAAAAGCCCTGGACTTTCCCACATGGCCAAATCTCTGGCATTCACTGAGGCTACCATCCTAACAACTGGCTCTTCATTATCGCCTAAACCCAATCTCCCAATGATCTGTTACCCTCCATTGTCTATCACCTCCCTGATGGCCCCTGGCCACTTACCACCCTATAATCCATTCTCTCTTGGCCACGTGGTGCAGGTCCCTGGAGTTTAGACCCTTCCTTCAGTCACCCCAGATTACTTGGCCAGCTTCAGCAAGGTGGAATTCTATCAGGAAGACTGATGGTTTGCAAATCTGTCCCTCTAAATTAAACTAATTAATTAAACGGCTCCCTGATCTCTGGCACTTTGTCTCTGGCTCGCTGTTTCATCATTCTCAGGTGAGAGACGGGCTCAATAAAATCCTGCGAACACTTTCCAAAACACAGCCCGGGCCAAAGCAAAGCCTTCCGTCGTCCCCGCGGTCCCGGCTGGTGGCGGCGCCCCCTTGACCTCTCCTGCTGCCCCGGGCCTACTCCTGTCCTGCTCCTCCTGGAAGCCCCAGGGGGCTGAGCGAGCTCTCCGGGCATCCAGCCCCAGCCCCTGGTTTCCCTCCTCAGAGCCGGGGCTTCCCTGCGTGTTTGCGTCACTTCCGGCGGGAAGATGCCGGCGCACGGGAAGCATTTCATAAGAGCCACCGCCTGTGGTGACTGGCTGCCGGAGTGGAAGAGACTGCGGGCTGGACTGGCTTCGGAGGAGCCCCAGGACCCCACGAGGTCTGCGACCCCATGCTTGGTGACTCGCCGTGGGCTCTGGGGCTGTGAAGACCTCGTACGAGGTAACGCTAGGAGCGGAGGGGGCGGGGCTCCTGGCAGGAGGGGCGGGGCAGCCAAGGAGGCAGGACTGCATTCCAGGCCGGGGGAGCGGCGGAGCCCCAAGCATGCGCAGGAGGAGCCTCAGCCTCCAGACTACGATTCCCAGAAGGCCGTGCTCGCCTCCGGGGCATTTTCGAAAGATGGGGTGGGCGGGCCACGCCTCGCGTCACTTCCGCCACCACTATTTCAGCCCCTTTCGTGGTTATTTGTGGTTTTTTCACATTCTCTGTCCTGCGCTGAAGTGTGACGTGGTGAGCGGGGGCCGAGAGCCGGGCCAGGCCCAGGCGGAGCCGGCTGCGGGGTGCGGCGGGGTCGGAGCACGGGGGGCTGACTGGGGAGCACACGGAGAGCGGGAGGAGCGTCCGCCAGAGGAAGAAGGAAGCCCCCGAGGGGTCTCAGGGGTCTGGGGGCGGGCGGGATTGGAGGCCGAGCAGGCGGAGGCGGAGCCTGGGGGCGGATTCTACTCCTCCTTCAGTCCCGCCCGCATCCCGCGTCCCCCTCCCTGATCTCCCCGCAGTGGAGAAGTGGGAATGTCTGGTCTGAGCTGGGCAGACCCCCAGCGTGACCCCTCATTCTCCTGCTTCTCCTTTCCTCCCCAGCTCTACCTTCGGTGACCTCTGCTGTGCCCCAGGAGGACAGCCTGGAGGAAGAGGGAATGGCTCCTGCCCTGACAGCCAGGCACGGGAAGGTGAGTGCCACTTGCTGCTTTTCTGAACTAGCATCTCAGGCCAGAGATCCTGAGATGGGTTTCTTTATCCTGTGCTGTAACATTAGGAATTGTGGGAATCAGAGAATCATATAACCACAGACACCAATGTATTCTCTCCACACACACAAAAAAAACCCTAATTACATTTACTTTGTGTTTTTTTAAATTTTGAGTTCCAAATTGTTTCCCTCCATCCAATCCTTCCCCCACCTATTGAGAAGGCAAACGATGGGACACCCATTTTTCCTGGGAAGTAATGCAAAACATTTCCATATTGGCCCTAGCCTTGTGTTCGGGCATAAAAACCTCATAATCCATTGCAGAAAGGCAGAAATATTAAATGCATCCTTTTCAGATCATGATGCAATAAAAATTACATGTAATAAAGGGCTATAGAAAGATAAAACTAAAAACTAATTGGAAACAAAATAATCGTAAAGAACGAGTGAGTCAAATAACAAATCATAGAAACAATCAGTAACTTCATCAAAGAGAGTAACAATAAAGAGACAGTTATTTAGATCTAAATTTATTTGTGTTAAAAGTGTTTTGTAATTGTGTTTATGTATTTCCTGTGTTTGTCTTGGCAGGTAGGCTACCAAATGTTTTATGTTGTCTATAGTTATTTTAAATCGAACTTCTTTTTCTGTCTCTTGCTGCTGGGCTTTGTAGTAGTATATAGAAATGTCTTTGTTAGTAATATATAGAAATGTCAATTATTTATGTAGGGTTATTTTATATCCTGCAACTATGCAAAGGTTTTTAATTATTTCAAGTAATTTTTAGTTGATTCTCTAGGATTCTCTAAGTACACTAACATATCATCTGCAATGAGTGATAGTTTTGTTTGCTCACTGCCTATTCTAATTTCCTTCAGTTTCTTTATCTCTCTTTTGCTAAAGCTAACATTTCTACTACAGTATTGGGTAACTGTGGTGATGATGGACATTCTTATTTCACCCCTGATCTTACTGGGAAAGCTTCTAGCTTATCCTTACTAAATATAATACTTGCTGATGGTTTTAGATAAATGCTACTTTTTTAAGGAAAACTTCATTTACTTCTATGTTCTCAAGTATTATTAATAGGAATGGGTACTGTATTTTGTCCAAAGTTTTTTCTGCATCTATTGAGGTAATCAAATGATTTGTTAGGTTTGTTATTCATATGGTCCCTTATGCTGATAATTTTCCTAATATTGAACCAGCTCTCCACCCCTGGTATAAATCCCATCTAGTCATAGTGTATTATCCTGGTGAAAAATTGCTGAAATCTCTTCGCTAATATTTTATTTAAAATTTTTGCATCAATATTTATTAGGGAAATTGGGCTATAATTTTCTTTCTTTGTTTTGACTCTTCCCTTTTTTGGTATCAGCACCATATTTGTGTCTTAAAAAGAATTTGGTAGGACTACTTCTTTGCCTATTTTTCCAAATAGTTTATATATGTATATATATACATATAGATAATATTAGAATTAATTGTTCTTTAAATATTTGGTAGCATTCACTTGTAAATCCATCTGGCCCTAAAATTTTTTTCTTAGGGAGTTCATTTCTTTTCCTAAAAGGGGCTTAAACATTATATTTCCTCTTTTGTTAATCTGGAGAGTTTATATTTTTGTAAATATTCATCCACTTCACTTAGATTTTCAGAATTATTGGCATGCAGTTGGGCCAGATATCTCCTAATTACTGCTTTAATTTCCTTTTCATTGGTCATGAATTCACCCTTTTCATTTTTGATACAGGTAATTTGGTCTTCTTCCTTTTTTAAAATCAAATTAACCAAAGGTTTGTCTATTTTATTGTTGGGGGTTTTTTTTGTTTTTTTTTTTTAATAAAACCAGCTCTTAGTTTTATTTATTAGTTCACTAGTTTTCTTACTTTCAGTTTTATTAATCTCCCCTTTGATTTTCAGCATTTCTAATTTGGTATTTATTTGGGGATTTTTAATTCATTCTTTTTCTAGCTTTTTCAGTTGTATGCCTGATTCATTGATCTCCTTTTTCTCTTTTTTATTTATGTAAGCATTTAAAAATATAAAATTTCCCCTTAGAACTTCTTTGGCTGTATCTCCTAAGTTTTGATATGTTGTCTCTTTATTGTCATTCTCTTTGATGAAGTTATTGATTGTTTTTATGATTTGTTGTTTGACCTAGTCATTCTTTAGGATTAGATTATTTTGTTTCCAATTAATTTTTAGTTTTATCTTTCCATGGCCCTTTATTACATGTAATTTTTATTGCATCATGATCTGAAAAGGATGCATTTAATCTTCCTGCCTTTCTGCATTGGGTTGTGAGGTTTTTATGCCCTAATACATGGTCAGTTTTTGTCTAGGTGCCATGTACCACTGGGGAAAAGGTATATTCCTTTCATTCCCCTTTCAATTTTTTCAAGAGGTCTATCATATCTAATTCTATTAAAATTCTGTTCAACTCCTTAACTTCTTCTTTATTTTGTGGTTAGATTTCTCCAATTCTGAGAGGGGGAGGTTGAAGTACCTTCAGCCCCTCAATTGTAATAGGTCTTTTGCACCTCTTTATATGATATAATTTGCCCTATTTTGCCTCCCCTTTCCTCTTCTCTTAGTATAATCCTTTTTTTCTCCCTTAATTATTTTCATATCATATCAAAGTCATCTTATACTCATACCTTCTGTCTATGTATTTCTGTTCTAACTGCCCTAATAAAGATACAGTTCTCAATAGTTATAAGCATCATCTTCACATAAGCAATGCAAACAGTTTAACCTTATGGAATAACATGTTTTTTTCTTTGCTGTTCACCTTTTTATGCTTCTCTTGAGTCTTTTATTTTGAGGTTGAATTTTCTGTTTAGCTGTGGTCTTTTCATCAGGAATGACCAGAATTCCCCTATCTCATTGAATGTCCAGCTTTTCCCATGAAAGATTATGCTCAGTATTGCTGGGTAATTGATTCTTGCTTATAATCCAAGCTTCTTTTCCTTCCAGAATATCATATTCCAAGCCAATGATCAAGACAATTCCAAATGACTCATGATAATAGCTGAGGCAAGGAGGGAAAGGCCTGACATAAATGAAGCTGAAGGGAGAAACATTTTCTTCAAACTTTTCTCAAAGTCCTTGTGCCCAAGCCATTCTTATCTTAACCATCTTTATTTGGATTGATAGAGCCACTCTCTCTTTTTATGATGGGGTGAGGGGCAGGGTAGAAGGACAGGTGCTATTGGATTGGAAAAGGGACATTTATCAAGTTTCTAAAAAGAGAGGATAGATTCTGCAAAGCCTAGGCTAGTGACTTTGAATTCTGGCACATTCCTAGAGTACACTGGTAAATGAGCGCATAGAGAGCAATTAGAAAGGTTTCTTTTTATTTCTTCTGTAAGGCTTTGTGCTATTTCACCACAGTCATTTCTGGAAAAAGACCTCTTTCCTTCACCCTCCAAATTTTATCCTCCTTTATACCAAAGAAGTAGTTACACAAGAGTAACAATGACTTTACCTGACAGTTGATAAAACATTCTCTTCTAGTGGTCTCCATCTTCTCAGCTATCAAAAGTGGCAACAGTTTTTTTTATTTTATTTTTAGTTTATGGAATAAAACAATCATTTCCATAACAAAGTATAATAAAAAAGATAATAGTGCATGAAACTGCAAATCTACTATATGTAACTTGCTATTCTTTCAAATATACAATAAAATTATCGTGTAAATTTTTTTTCTTTCCTCCCCTTTCCAACCTAGAGATGGCTATCATTAGACACAGATAGGTGTATGTGTGTGTGTAATCCATATATACTTGTGTTTATCAGTTCTTTCTCTAGATGCAGATAGTGTCTTTCTTCATATGTCCTTTTATAGTTAATTTGGAGATTTATAATAGTCAAAATAACTTATTTATTCAGAGTAATTTTTGAAACAATATTGCTGTTATTCTATACAGTGTTCTCTTGGTTCTGCTCACTTTTTGCTCTTCATTATTTTGTCAAAGTCTTTCCATGTTTTTCTAAAATCATTTAGCTTATCATTTCTTATAACACCGTAGTATTCCATCACAATCATATAACACAACTTGTTCAGCCCTTCCACAACTGGTAGGCATCCCTGTAATTTCTAGTTCTTTACCACCACAAAGAGAGCTGGTATAAATATCTGAGAACATATAGGTTCTTTTCCTTTTTCCCTAATCATTTTTGGATATAGACCAAGTAGTGGTATTGCTGGGTCAAAGCATATAGGTATTTTAATAATTCTTTTTGCATAATTCCAGATTACTCTCCAAAATGGTTGGATCATTTTACAATTCCACCAACAGTCAATTGGTGTCCCAATTTTTCCACATCCTCTCCAACATTTGTCACTTTCTACTTCCTGTCATTTTACCCAGTCTAATAGGTGTGAAATGTTATCTGAAGGTTGTTTCACTTTTCATTTCTCCAATCCAGTAATGATTTAGAGCATTTTTATATGACTATAAATTCTTTTGATTTCTTCACTGGAAAAGCGCCTGTTCATATCCTTTGACTACTTATCAGTTGGGGAATGATTCGTATTCTTACAGATTTGACAAAGTTGTTTATATATTTTAGGTGTGAGGCCTTTATCTGATAAACTGTCCATAAAAATTTTTCTCCAACTTTCTACTTTCCTTCTAATCTTGGCTATATTTGTTTTATTTATACAAAACCTTTTGAATTTGATGTAATCACAATTATCCATTTTATACCTGACATTGCTATCTCTTGTTTATTTATAAATTGTTCACCTCACCATAAGTCTGATGAGTAATATGTTCAACTTTTTTTATAATTACTTGGAGTTCAGCATCCTTTTCTTTGTTATTAAATTATATTTCTGTAATTTTTATGTCGTGTTCTGTTGACTCTGCTTATTTTACACTGTGTCAGTTAATGCCTATCTTCCAATCCTCAGAATTCTTCTTGTCATTTTTAATTATATAAATGACAGTGTTATTCATATGCTGTTTTTTCTAGCTATTCTTTACTGCTAAGAATTGTTTGTTTCCAGTTCTATGCTGCCCCAAAGAGTGCTCTTATGAATATTTTTATCCAGAAATTCAGTTGTGGCCTTGGTCGGGTGATACAGAAAGGGAATGGCAACGTGGTACAGTGAGAATAGCCTTGGATTTGAAGCTGGGAGGACGTGGGCTCAAAGTGCTTATCTACCGTTTATTCCCCTTTTAACCTTAAGCGAGTCACTTTCCCTCTCTGAGCGTCACTTCCCTAACGTATAAAATGAGAAAACTGGACTCTAACGTGTCTTCCTGCTCTCAGTATATGAATTGGTAAGTTGTAGTCCTTTAACACCCTTTTCAGCAGTGCAAATAAAATGTTCACATGCTCTAACAGATAGGAGATTGTAGCCCCCCCATGCTTGCCTCTGCTCTTCTGAGCAAATGCTCCAGGATCATTGAACACAATCATGGTCATTTCAGAGCAGCACATTTTCAGAAGCACAGCGATTGAGTGGAAAGAGATCAGGCTGATTGGTCAAAGAAACTGGCCTTGTTTAGTCTGGAAGAGAGACTTAGGACCACATGATATCACTGTCTTCAGCTATTTCATTTTCATTGTTTATTTCTGCAAGTAGAAAAGGAATTATCCATATTACTTCTTCAGCTCAGAGGGAAGAAATAGGAGCCATGGGTGCACATTGTGAAAAACAACAGCAACAACAAAAAAAGCCCCCACACATTTAAAATTGATGTCTTTGGAACCGTTTACAACAACAAACATTTATTAAGCACCTACAAAGTACCAGGCACTGTGCTAAGTGGAACATACAAATGATGGCAAATAAGGGCTCCTGCCCTCAAGGAGCTTACAAACCCAGAGAGGAATTCTTTTTAAAAAATTTTTATTCATTTAATTTTTAGTTTATGGAATAAAATAAGCATTTTCAAGACATAATATCATTAAAAAAAGATGATTGCACATGAAACTGCAAATCTGTTATGTGCAACTTGCTATTCCTTTTAAATATACAGTAAAGTTATATAAATTTCTTTGTTTCCTTTCCCACCCATCCCTAGAGATGGCTACCGTTAGATATGTGTGTGTGTGTGTGTCTGTGTGTCTCTGTGTGTATTTAAAATCAATCTGTCCATACTTCTATTTATCAGTTCTTTCTGGAAGAGGAATTCTTAAGTGCCTGCTATATACCAGACACTGTAACTCGGATACAATTAAATAAATGAAACAATCCCTTGTGGCAAGTGAAAGATGAAATGATTAAGGAAACAAAGGTTTAATCCTTTGGGCATATCAGTTTATTAAGCAGTTCATGGCAATTGCACAACAAAGTGAGACCAGGCCCCTTCCTCAACTTAGGACTGGACCCTGAATATAGGGGGTGATGTACTTTTATACATTTAGAATAATCAAAACCAGTTAATTAAAAGCAAATAATAGAATATTAGGTAATCTGATTTCTAATTTGAGGAAAGATTGGGAACTTTCCATGTTGGGAGGGGGAAAGGCAAAAGGTTCAGTTCCCTGAATTCAGAAAATGAGGTGTCCCACTCCCCCCAAGAGTCTATGTGCAATCCAAGGAACATGGAAATGATAACTAATTGGTCAGTATTGGCTCAGTTTTTAGATAAGACATACGGGTAGATTGAGATGTACAACTGTGAGAAAATTCCTTACATCAGTCTTTTTCCATCTGACTGGGTTTCTGATCAGCATAACCTAGGTCCTTACTTAAGGACTAAATAGCGGGTAGATTAGGTCTCGTTTCTCAGCCATTCAAGGCTAGGTTCAAACAATGCAATAAGGTTTTCTCCTATTTCCCACAATTAAATAAATTTTTCTCACATGACAGAAGTTGGACTGGATCCGTAATTGAACAGAAAAAGAACTGAGCTACCCCCAGAATTGAGTCACAAAATGGGGTCAATATGGTTGATTCAATTGCCTCAATTCCATGTACCACTTGCTGTCCTAATGCCCTGCATTCCCTCACTCTGCTGGGAAGCAGATTACATTTGAACTTCGTAACTAAAAGTTAGAGTTATAGCTGATGTTTCTGATGTTTCAGGAATTAGTGACATTCAAGGATGTGGCTGTGGAATTCACTCAGGAGGAGTGGGTACAATTGAACCCATCTCAGAAAAAGCTGTACAGGGATGTGATGCTGGAGAACTATAGGAACTTGGTCTGTTTGGGTAAGAATAGCTACCCCATTGGGGTGTTATGTACTGTGACAACTTTCAAGATTTTAAGTTATCCTTTGGCATACACAAGGAGACTATTCCTAATCCTCTTATAGCCAAGAGACGGATTACTTGTACTACCTATTTCCAGGAAAAAGGTCTTTGTTTAGTACCCCTGGAAATTGATTTCTTGATTTGTTGTTATTCTTGAGAATGTATCTTTCCCCTCTCTATTGCTTCAATTCTAAGATTTTCTTTTTAATTCCAATGTAAGTTACATCATATACAGTCTTCCCACTGTCTAAGCAGGGAATGAGTCAAATGAACTATTTTTTCCTAAGTCCTACTCAGTAATCCATTCTACCTTAATACAGAATATACTCTGGTGGTTCTTTGTACTATCTTTGAGGTACCTACCATGCCTATTTTTTCCCCAAAGAGGGCTTGAGCTAGTTTTGATTTCTTTTATTAAGTTTTATGCCCTTAAGGCTTTTATTAAGCTTTTAAAAAAACTAATTTCTCCTCCCTCTGCCACCGTAAATAAAAAAGAAAGAAAAAACCCTACTTCTCCCTTCAACCAGCCCATTGAGCCCACCATAGTTGGGAAAAAAAATCTCAAAATGAGCTAACATAGTGCCCTTGGTAGTATAAGATACATTCAGTGCCCTCATTAACCCCCACCTTTCTAGTAAGAGTTGAGAGGAGTATTTCATCTATCTGTTTTATGATGGAACTCTGAAATGACTCCCTAGCACTTTTTGTTTTTCAATGAACAGGATTTGCAGTTTCCAAACCGGATGTGATCTACCAGATGGAAAGAAAGAAAGCATCTTGGATACCAGAGGCAGATATTCCAAGAAGCAGCTTTCCAGGTGACTACATAAAAATCAACCAGATGGGTCATTGCAGAATACTGATCTGTTGAATATTCTAGGTCAAAGCTCTTGTAAAATGTTGAACAAAGTGGTTTATCAAAGTTTCTCAGGCCTGTTGAGAGAAGCTGAGACTTTACAAATTCATTTTTTACTTCAAAAAGTTACTTTTTTTGTGTATCTCTTTACTGAAATATACTTCTACTCTCAAAGAAATTTGTCGCCTCAGTACAGGGCAGTTATTTCTATTCTGTTCATGGAAGATTATCTTATCTTGGGCAGGCATTCTCCTGCCTCACTTGCGTGAATTCATTCTCCTTTTAAAATAACGCACATTACTCTTGAGTTCTCTTCTGATAATTCCTTCTGTTTTGTTTTTATGATTATGTTACTTTGCTGCTGTTGCTTTTTAAAATACTTAATCCTAAAAAAGTAAATAAAATAAAATACTTAATCCTAAGTGTTTAATAATAATCCTAATTATCCTAATTCCCCTTTCTTCAGTCTGTCATGTTATGCGTCATCTTGTTTTTCTTTATGTTTTGAAATTGTTTATAAAGGCATAATAATATGTTTATATGACAGTGCTTATGTGGCCATAACTCCAGGATTGGACCTATAGGTTTTTGTTATTTTGCTATTTCACAAAAAGTTTTGAAAATTTTAGGGAATTCTTTGTTTTTGGTAACATTTTAAGGATGCAGACCTATTAGTGGGACCATTATGTCAAATGATATGAACAGTTTTGTACCACTAGCTAAAATTGCTATGTTACTTTTAAGAAAAATGGCAGCCATGGCTTACCAATTTTAACATAACTGCCAAAATTTATCATTTTAAAGAATCTTTGCTAATCTAATGGCCATTTATTGATACTTCCTAATTGTTTTCGTTTTAATTTCTTTGATTACCAGAGTTTGAGTACTGTTTCAGGTAATTATTAATAATTTTTCTTGGAGCAGCTAGGTGATGCAGTGGATAGTGCACTGGCCCTGAAGTCAGGAGGACCCGAGTTCAAATCCGGCCTCAGACCAAACACTTGACACTTACTAGCTGTGTGACCCTGGGCAAGTCACTTAACCCTAATTGCCTAAAAATAAAATTAAAAAAAAAATTAAAAAAAAAAATTTTTCTTGTCAAAAATACCTGTATGTCTTACTCTTATGAATTTCAATTAATTTCTTACAAAGTAGATATGTTGAATTTTTAGAGGAAGTTTATGGCATCAATTGTCCACATTTTTCCCCTCATATTTCTTCTTTATTCTGTTTACTTCATGTATCTATGTCTCCTCCTTACTCTAAACTCAATTTTCCATTTTCTTTCTGTTCAGTGTTTTCCCTTCCTATTTTCATCTCAGAGGGTAAAGATATATTTGCAAGTTCTCAAAGTCATCTGTTTTTTTCTGAATAGTCTTATCCCATTCAGATGTCAGCCAATGAAAGTAGAGTAAGGGTTCATTCATTCCCCCCCTGGTAATTTCATCCCAAGTGAATTCATTTACATATGTTACCTTTGAGTCATCAAACTTTCACATAAGATAAATCGATCCTTAGTGAAAGGCTAGTAAGACTAGTTGTCTCAAGTGAGAAGGCAAGAGAATAGCTCTAAAACCTTTGAACAACTAAGCACATTGTGGAAAGGGTGAAAAAAAGGCTGGTTTAATCAGCTCTTTATTCTTCCTTTCAGAGAGCAGAGAATTTACTGGAGATAAACCTCTTGGATGTAGTGAATGTGGGAATGCCTTCAGGAGCAAGGAGCATCTTGCTGTGCATCATAAAATTTCTACTGGAGAGTTTGTTTCTCAACTTAAGCAGTGTGGGAAGGCTTTTCTCTACAACTCAGAATTTCTTCGACATAAAAAACTTCATACTGGAGAGAAACCTTATGAATGTACTGAATGTGGAAAGGCCTTCAGGAAAAACTCACAACTTATAATGCATCAGAGAATTCATATTGGAGATATTCTTTATGAATGTAAGGAGTGTGGGAAAGCTTTTCTTTACAACTCAGAATTTGTTCAACATCAAAGAATTCATACAGGAGAGAAACCTTATGAATGTAGTGAATGTGGAAGAGCCTTCAGGAGGAAGGAACATCTTACTGTGCATCAGAAAATTCATACTGGAGAGAAGCCTTATGAATGTAGTGTATGTGGGAAAGCCTTCAGAAGTAAGGGACATCATACTGAGCATCAGAAAATTCATACTAGAAACATTCTTTATGAATGTAAGGAGTGTGGGAAGGGTTTCCTCTACAACTCAGGTCTTATTCAACATCAAAAAATTCATACTGGAGAGAAACCTTATGAATGTAGTGAATGTATGGAGGCCTTCAGGAGTAAGACACTACTTTCTGTGCACCAGAG